TTCAACACCCACTTATGAGTGAGAACATGTGGTGTTTGGTTTTCAGTTCTTGTGTTTGCTGAGAATGGCGGTTTCCAACGTCATCCATGTCTCTGCAAAGAACATGAGCTCATCCTTTTTATGGCTGCATAGTATTCCATAGTATATATATGTGCCACCTTGTCTTTATCTAGTCTATCATTGATGGGCATTTGGGTTGGTTCCAGGTCTTTGCTATTGTGAACAGTGCCACAATGAACATATGTGTGCCTGTGTCTTTGTAATGGAATTATTTATAATCCTTTGAGTATATACCAATAATAGGATTGCTGGGTCAAATGGTATTTCTAGTTCTAGATCCCTGAGGAATTGCCACACTGTCTTCCACAATGGTTGAACTAATTTATACTCCCACCAACAGTGTTAAAACATTTCTGTTTCTCCACATCCTCTTCAGCATCTGTTGTCTTTTTTTAGTGATCACCATACTAGCTGGCTTGAGATGGTATCTCCGTGTGGTTTTGATTTGCATTTCTCTAATGACCAGTGATGATGAGCTTTTTTTTCATGTTTTTTGGCTGCATAAATGTCTTCTTTTGAGAAGTGTCTGTTCATATCCTTGGCCCACTTTTTGATGGAGTGTTTTTGGGGTTTTTTTTGTAAATTTAAGTTCTTTATAGATTCTGGATAGTAGCGCTTTGTCAGATGGGTAGATTGCAAAAATTTACTCCCATTCTGTAGGTTGCCTGTTCATTCTGATGAGAGAGAGAGAGAGAGATAGATAGATAGGTAGATACAGATATATAGATATAGGTACTTTTTTTTTCTGTGCAGAAGTTCTTTAGTTTAATTAGATCCCACTTGTCAATTTTTGCTTTTGTTGCCATTGCTTTTGGTGTTTTAGTCATAAAGTCCTTGTCCATGCCTGTGTCCTGAATGGTATTGCCTAGGTTTTCTCCTAGGGTTTTTATAGTGTTAGGTCTTACGTTTAAATATTTAATCCATCTTGAGTTAATTTTCGTATAAGGTGTAAGAAAGGGATCTAGTTTCAGCTTTCTGCATGTGGCTAGCCAGTTTTCCCACACCATTTATTGAACAGGGAATCCTTTTCCCCATTGCTTGTTTTTGTCAGTTTTGTCAAAGATCAGATGGTTGTAGATGTGTGGCATTATTTCTGAGGCCTCTGTTCTGTTCCATTGGTCTGTATGTCTGTTTTGGTACCAGTGCAATGCTGTTTTAATTACTGTAGCCTTGTAGTATAGTTTGCAGTCAGGTAGCATGATGCCTCTAGCTTTGTTTTTTTTGCTTAGGATTATCTTGGCTATGTGGGCTCTTTTTTGTTCCACATGAAATTTAAGGTGGTTTTTTCCAATTCTGTGAAGAAAGTCAATGGTAGCTTAATGGGGATAGCGTTGAATCTATAAATTACTTTGAGCAGTATGGCCATTTCACAATATTGAGTCTTCCTAACCATGAGCATGGAATGTTTTTCCAACTATTTGTGTTCTCTCATATTTTCTTGAGCAGTGGTTTGTAGTTCCCTTTGAAGAGATCATTCACATCCCTTGTTAGTTATATTCCTAGGTAGTTTATTCTCTTTGCAGCAATTGTGAATGGGAGTTCACTCATGATTTGGCTCTCTGTCTGTTGTTGGTATATAGAAATGCTTGTTATTTTTGCACATTGATTTTTGTATCCTGAGACTTTGCTGAAGTTGCTTATCAGCTTAAGGAGATTTTGGGCTGAGATGATGGAGTCTTCTAATTATACAGTCATGTCCTCTGCAAATAGAGCCAATTTGACTTCCTCTTTTCCTAATTGAATAACCTTTATTTCTTTCTCTTGCCTGATCGCCCTGGCCAGAACTTCCAATACTGTGTTGAATAGGAGTGGTGAGAGAGGGCATCCTTGTCTAGTGCCAGTTTTCAAAGGGAATGCTTCCAGTTTTTGCCCATTCAGTATGATATTGACTGTGGGTTTGTCATGAATAACTCTTATTATTTTGAGATAGGTTCCCTTAATACCTAGTTTATGGAGAGTTTTTAGCATAAATACTATTGAATTTTGTGTCAGGCCTTCTCTGCATCTATTAAGATAATCGTGGTGTTTGTCTTTGGTTCTGTTTCTGTGATGGATTACCTTTATTGATTTGTGTATGTTGATCAAGCCTTGCATCCCAAAGATGATTTTTGGATTTTTAGTATAGAAAGGGTTTCCCCATGTTGGCCAGGCTGGTCTTGGACTCCTGACCTCAAGTGAGCCACCTGCCTTGGCCTCCCAACATGTTTGCTTGAGATTTTTAAAACAAGGTCCTGGTTCCTGAGAGGGAAAGTGAGTTGTGTGCTCTGGGAAGGAAGATGTAGAAAAGGCGGTGTCTTAGGCCATTTGGGCTGCTATAGCAAAATACACTCAACTAAGTGGCTTATAAATAATAGAAATTTATTTCTCACAGTTCTGGAGGTTGAGAAGTCAAAGATCAAGACACCAGCAGGTTTGGTGTGTGGGGACAGCTACTTTCTCACACATGGCACTGTCTCACTTTGTCCTTACATGGTAGAGGGGCAAACAAGCTCCCTCCAGCCCCTTTCGTAAGGGCACGAATCCCCTTAGGAGGGACCTGCCTTCATGACCTAATCACCTCCCAAAGGTCCTACCTCCAGATGCCACCATGTTTTGGGTTAGGATTTTAACATTTGAATTTGGGGAAAACATGTTCAGACTATAGCAGGCAGGAAGCAAATATCTCCACCCCCGTTGTCCGAGTCAATGGAAAACAGCATGGAATTTCAGTACCCTCACTTCATGACCTGACTTTCCCCCCATCCCTGTGTAGGAAGAAGGCTGGCAGGTCACTGCCCCTGCTCTGCTGTGGTGGTGAGTGGGCAAGGGATAGGGTGAAGACAGGAGCCACCAAACCTTACTCCTGTCTCTTCCATCACCCTTGTCCCTAAGCCAGGTTTGTCTTGGGAACCTTTCTAATCAAATCTTCCATACCTCATTCATTTTCAACTTTTACTAAAATGATAGAGGTCAGCTGGCTATTTCAGCCTAGGCAGCCAGAGAGACCTATTTATGTGAGTTTAAGATTTAGGTCTAAGATTTAGACTGAATGACCTGCAGCTCTGAAATCTCAATGGTCAGCAATTCTGGAATAATGACCCACACTATCAGACACATGTGAAACTAATCTGTGGCAGAAAGACAGTTTGTAAATGTATCATTGTATTAGTCTGTTCTCATGCTGCTAATAAATAATAAAGACATACCAGAGAGTGGGTAATTTATAAAGGAAAGAGGTTTAATGAACTCAGTTTTACATGGCTAGGGAAGCCTCACAATCATGGTGAAACATGAAGGAAGAGCGAAGGTATGTCTTACCTGGTGGCAGGTAAGAGAGCTTGTGCAGGGGAACTCCCATTTATAAAACCATCAGATCTTGTGAGTCTTACTACCATGAGAACAGCATGGGAAAGACCCACTCCCATGAATCAATTACCTCCCACCATATCCCTCTGTCAACACATGGGAATTATCGGAGCTACAATTCAAGGTGAGGTTTGGCTGGGGACGCATACAAACCATATCAGTCATGTGGAGTGGACCTTTCCAATAAGCACTATAATTGCTGTTGTGAATGCCTGTCTAAATATCAATGTACATAGCAGACAGAACTGGCAGTCAGAATAAGTGATAGGCACATATAAAATAAAGAATCAAGGCAAAGCACTCTTGCAGTTTTAAAAATGTTTTATATTTTGTCAGCTTTAGGGATACAAGTGGTGTTTGGTTACATGGATGATTTTAGTGTACCTGTCACCTGAGTTGTGTACATTGAACCCAATAGGCAGTTTTTCATCCCTCAACCCACTCACCCTCCCCTCCCCTCTTCTGAGTCTCCAATGTCCACCACATCACTCTGTATGCCTTTGCATACCCGAAAGTTAGCTCCCACTTACAAGTGAAAACATGCAGTATTTGGTTTTCCATTCCTACTTTGCTTGGAATAACAGCCTCCAGTTCCATCCAAGTTGCTGCAAAAGAAATTATTTCATTCTTTTTTGTGGCTGAGTAGTATTCCATGGTATATGCACGCATACCGCATTTTCTTTATCTACCCATCAGTTGATGGGGACTTAAGTTGATTTCATGTCTTTGTGATTACAAATTGAAGGTAAAGGATTTTGATTAGGCTGTATTAATGTGTGAAGTCATCCCCATATTCCTAAAGTGCTAAATCTTTTCTGCGCCCAAATATTTGCAAGTGTCAGGCTCAGGATTTCTCTTTCTGCAGTGGCAGGTTACTGCCATTAACTCCATCTCTTTTTCTTTACATGTACCATTGATATTAGACCTTTGCCTTGGGCTGCTACTTTACATTGTGCACCTAATTCTATTTGGGAGACTTTAGGACATGGCTTGTATGTGATAGAACCATTAATTAAAAATGAATTAGCAGCTGGGTGTGGTGGCTCACACCTGTAATCCCAGAACTTTGGGAGGCTGAGCTGGGTGGATCATGAGGTCAGGAGTTCAAGACCAGCCCGGCCAAGATGGTGAAAGCCCATCTCTACTAAAAATCCAAAAATTAGCCTAGTGAGGTGGCAGGCACCTGTAATCCTAGCTACTCGGGAGCCTGAGGAAGGAAAATCACTTGAACCTGGGGCGGAGGGGGTGGAGGTTGCAGTGGG